CACTCATTGGTGACTAGATCAGAAATGCCAGCCCCTGGAGGATGGGCTCCCGCTTTGAGTCTGGATCCTCCCAAGGTTTCTTCCATCTAGGGAGTTTTTCCTTGCCACTATCGCCTCTGGATTGCTCACTGGGGGCTTTGCGCAGGGATAATGTTAAATGCGTTGAGACAATGTAATGTTGAGAAAAAGTGCTATACAAATAAAACTGATTGATTGATTTGAATGTGTGCATGTGTGCGTGACACACGAGACACCCTCCCCAAAGCAGATTTGGTAACACGTCCTGTGAAGCCCATGCATATAAGAATCTATGAACACATCCGTAACACATTGATACATGCATAAAGCATTATAAACATGGCTATCAGTAATTCTAAAAAGGCATACCACATTATAGCTTTGTTTTTTATGCATTATGACTGTTCTATGAAGCTCTCATCTATAATGCACTATAGATACCTTTATAATGCATTATAATGGTTGGTATAAGCATTATGGATGCTTTGTGCTGCCTTATGATGTTATCTATAGTGCATTATAGATGAGAGCTTCATAGGGCAGTCATAATGCATGGCTATAACGTTTTATGCCTTTTTATAAATAGTTATAGCCGTGTTTATAACACATTATGAATGCATTATAATGCACTACGAAGGTGTCCATCATGAAGTACAAGGACTGCTTTAAGTAAAGTGTCACCGCAGATCCCTCACTCCCACTAGAGATAAACCACATTGCTTATTTTGCTTCTTGGCCATCCTGAGTCAGGGAAATTGTCCCTCAGGCAGGCCCTAGAGCCTTCTCGTGAAATGCAGGCGGTGCAGATGGACACACACACCACAGCTGCTCGGGTTCTGGAGCAGCACACCCAGCTGGAACCCGTTTGGACTCACCAGCTCTCCTCAAACTGTCAGGCACCCACCGCTGCTTCGAATCACTAATTAACGTGCAGCAACATCTGCTTTTTTGACCCTCTTTTCGAACTGCCACTTCTCCCTTCTTCAGAGGAACCGTACCTGACTGGTCTCCAGTCCACCGCTCTGTGTCTGGGTCATAGACAATTTAACATAAGATGCAAATGCAACTTGAACATATTAAGGCCAACACAATTAAATTATATTGTAAAGTTATATTTGAAAATGTGACTTGTATTAGTCATATCAATTTGTAATAATCATACATTGCAAATATATTATTATTATTTTTTTAAATTTATTTATCTAGATGAATGACTGCTTAGGCTCTCTCAAATTGCACCCCCTGGGGAAAAAAAGCCCAGAGTTGCCTATGGCAAAGCAGACATCCTGTGTACCCAAGGACAAGGCAGTCATGAACATGTGACCTTCCACTGTCTCCCCTTATTACCCACGTTGCAGTGGGGGAGGGGTGTAGGGGCTTGAATTGCAAGCATGGCAGGTATATTTTGGTCCATGTTCCTTGGGGCCCAGGTGATCAACTCAGGTGCTGACATCCTACAGAATTAAGACTGTTTTCCAGAACAGGCACCTGTGCATGCAGCACCTTGGGAACGATTGCGATGGTTGGGACTGGCAGGCTCCGGGGCCGTCAGCAGTACATAGTGGGTCACTGTATTGGGTCGCTGCTGGACTCTCTGGCTCAGGAAATTGGGAAGAGTTAATGAGGCTTAGCCTCACTGGCCTTCTCACAAATGGTTACAGTGTAATTTAATTTGTCCTGATGACGGTGTACATTCCGGTTGTGCAAACAAAGTCCTTACTGCGATTTCCTCTGACTAAGACTTCACGGTGCCGCCCTCCAATTTCACTGATGAATGAACGAGACCATTGAGTTCTCGGAGATCTCAGGTCGTTAATGCTCACTAAGCACTTACTGTACAATTGGAGCATGAAGATAAGTAATTAGTTACATTTACCATCTGAGTAAATATACAACAGGCAACAAGCCCAAGTGAATCAATGAAACAGAATCGTAAACAAAACAATAGTATCTATCCATCAATCTGTCTTCTGTACTGCTTATCAGACGTAGACTGTATACCCAGAAGCACAGAGCACAAGGCAGGGCGCATTCTGGATGAAACGTAATATAACAATATAACAAATACGTTGAGAGTGTGGTAAGAATTTCTTAAGCATCTTCAGTGGCAAAGAAACGCAGATTAAGCCTCCTGGGGACTTTATTTCAAGCCGCCTTCCAGGTTCACGTCAGACCCTGGTAATTCATTCGCTTGTTGTTTATTCACAGAAAATGCTTTTAAAATTTCTGTTTAGAATAGCAAGGGAGTGTTTGGTTGTCCTAGGATGCAGGAAGCTCAAGTTTTAAACCAAGCAAAATAATAAAAATAAACCTTCTGAAAATAATGTATTCCTCTCCCTTCCGCCAAGCAGAGTGCAGTGATCTGTTACCAGAATTCCCATTGGTTAGTAAAACGGGACTTTCCAACAGTGATGGGATCCTCCCACCTCCACAGAGCAAGAGTCACAAAGACTGCTTATTTCGCTAAGACCCCATGCCTAAAGGTTTTTGGGCTTTCTGGGTTGCCACCAGGACTAGACTCCATTGCCAGGAGCCAAGGTCACCTCTACTCACAGAGACGTCGGCAAACAGCACGAGCACCATTTAAGTTCTTGTGCGAAAAGGGCTTATCAGATTGAATCAGGTTTAGTAAAAGCAGAGGGTTAAATGTCTATTTCCATCCTCATTTCGCTTTTCATATGTTATGTCCTGTTTCTATATCTAGGCTGTCTAGCTGGAAACTGATTTGGTTTATATCTGCAAGCTTTTCATTTTAGTGCTTAAAGCTCAGTAAATTTACATCTATTCACTGATGTCCAGCGACTTCACAGGTCCGCATGGCAGACTGCAGCGTTACCCAGGATGCACAGGGCACGTGGTGGGGGGGGGGACATGCCAGCCCTTCACAGGGCACCCACTTTGGGAATTTACAGGTCGCATTTCACGCCCTTAATGCTGGGGGTGTGACACAGTAGCGATCGTCTCTATGCCGCCCCACTAAATCTGCTTACTGACATAAAATTCTCTTATGTGTTAGCATTTAACGAAAGGCCATTAATAAGTCTAATTTAAGTCCTCAGGTAGTTGAAGGAAAAAACTTTTGTCTGAAGTAATTTTGATAGCATGGCTTACGGCTGTCCCCATTTATACAACTGGATATTTTGATGGGAATATTAAGGTTATGGATCTTAGGAGAACAGAAACAAGTCCACTCTTGGGGCTTGGATACTATACAGCTTCCTGCCCTAATTAATACAGTACCTGACTCAGCCATTGTTTAAACAAGTTATAGGCAATATATGCCGCACAAATGCTACGGTCAAATGCTTCATTCTCTGGGGCAAAGACTGATCTATTATTCTCCAAACTGCAGTTATTGCTGGCTGCCAGCAGGGGGCACCATCTTTTTTTCTAATGCACTTTAACTCACCATGCTTCTGTGGTTCTGTCTCCTTGGCAGCTCCAGCGTCTGAAGCGCTCGCTGTCCTTCAAGTCCATCATGCGCAGCAAGAGCGTCGAGAACTTCTTCCAGCGGTCCAACAGCGATGCTCGGATGCCGCCCGATTTCTTCACCGATCCCCCGCCCCCGTCCCCGCCACTTCTGTCGGGATCCCCACTGGCCAGCGATGGCTCGCCGTCCATGTCCCCATCCCTCAGCCCCAACCCTTCCCTGTCCTCTCAATCCCCGTCTTTAAGCCACTCCCCCTCCGGGTCCTCCAGGCCCCCAGACCCGGCCCGACCGCCGCTGGTGCACTGCTTCCTGGAGCACGTGTTCCGACGGCCCACTTACTGCCAGCTCTGCAACAACATGATCGTGGGTAGGTCGTACCAATCCTCAGGAGGGTGGGGCCGCTCCCTCTGTTCATGCATCGTGACTCAAAAGCAGACCACGTTTGGCAGCCATCTGTAAACACGGCACAGTTTTATCGCCGCTCGTAGAAGTATGCAAATGCATGCAAATAAGCCCGTTCTCCTACAGTCGACTGTTTGGAGAAGAGATCAAACCGCAGACCTGTCATTTTGGTATGAGCTGAAATTCAAGCTTGTCAGAGCTGATAATGGTATGAGAGCTCAAAACACATCATATTTGTACCCATGTATATATATTATACCACAGTATCAATGACAGAAAAGTATAAGCTAATCGAGTTTTTAATTAGCATTGGCAGCGTCTTTTAGCGTCTCTGGGTTGTTCCTGACACGCTGTTAGGTCTTTACTTCGCTTTTGAAGGATGCACATATACTCAAGCCATTCATCACACAATCCATTCACTCCCATCGATATTTATCGCTCATCACATCACTTAGCGGCCACACCTCGGACCCCTTTCCCACAATTCCCTCTGTCGCGTTTCCTCTCCTTCACCCCATTTCTGCTTTTTCGTTGACTCCATCTGTTCCGCCTCATTAGGTCATATTTCATTATTAGTTATTTCTCTCCCTCCTTTTCTTCAGCCGCTCTTACCGCTCCCTTCCTGCCCTTTTCGATCCGAGTCTGGGGTCCTTTGAAAACGAGTGTCGCCGGGCAACGCCGTCCCTGGCTGCGTGCACTTAAAATTCATAGTTTATTATTTATTGTCCGTTATCTTCATAGAAAAGCCTGAAGCAGGACACAGGCCAAGTCCCAGCCCCATTAAACCTTAATACATCCCTTACGGCCTCTGAATATAAACCCGCAAAATTGCGAAAACAAAAGGTTCATCTGATGGTTTATTAAGCTTGTTCCACTCCGTATACCGTCCATCGACTGATCAGATGCAGAGGTGTAGGACAGGACAGAGATAGACTGGCATCTTGGCCAAGGTGTATCACAGGACGCATACATGCTCAAACCCACAATGTGTGCAATTTAGAGATACCAGTTAGTCCGGCTGCATGTCTTTGGACTGATGGAGGAAGCCAGAGGACCTGAAGAAATCTCATGCAACATGCAGCAGAAACGGGATTCAAAACCCTAACCCTGCTGGTCTAAGGCAGGGGTGTCAAACGCCAGTCCTGGGGGGCCGGAGCCCTGCATATTTTTGGGTTTCCCCTCATTTAACACACCTGATTCAACTCATTTATGTTGGAACAGGGAAAGAACTAAGATACACAGGGCTCCGGCCCTCCAGGACTGGGGTTCGACACCCCTGGTCTAAGGCACAGTGAGCCACCATACCACCCAAATTACAAATGAATATTATTGGCACTTCTCAGAACAGATCAAGTGGAAGAAAAAAAAAAGTTTCTGACATTTGTTGAAAATTATATTTAGGGACTTAAAATAATTGCCATTAGGTACCTTTAGGCAGAAGTTATCTTTGTCTTGTAGGTCATGTCGTAACCAATCAATCCGTGTTTCCGCCTGCTTTCTGATGGGCTCCTTTTCTCCCCTGGGCAGGTAACTCGAAGCAGGGCCTCCGCTGTAAAGCTTGCAAAGTGGGCGCTCACCTGTGGTGCTCCTCTGAGCTCTCCCAGCAGCCCTGCAGCGGCAAGGTAAGGTCCAGCGGCGTCCAGCAGCGTCCTCCCCCCCGCGTCCTGCACAGGACGCAAAGCTGCCACTCCGACGATTAAAATTTGTGCCTTATAGAACCCTGTTACCATTAACGAAGTGGATGTAGAGGAGGGTGTTTTTGTGGGGTTTTCAGCAAGGGCAGGGTCGAAGAACTTTCTAGTAAAGTTAAAAAAAAAAAAGCAACACTGACTCCACATAAAGTGGATTGTTCTTGAGAAGTCATCCTACCCCAATGTGGTTCTGTCAATGGGGGCGGTGATCCCACTGTCACTGATCCCAGAACAGTGCCTGTGATGAGGAACAAGAATGCCTCTCCTCTTAGACAAAAGCCAACCATGTCCTGGAGAGACATCAGACCTGTCCATAAATAGACGGAGCGGAAGGTTGAGATGTAGAAGCGAGAGGGGTGGATTATCCAATACTGTACCTGAGGTGTTCCTGTTTATTTTTTGGGCCAGCGGGGATGTTCTGAGCCAACAAGATCCTTTCATCCTCCTCCAATCACAGTCGTTGGCCCATTACTGTGGCCAATTCACGGTGAGATTCAGCATACACCCTTGTACTTTTCATCACTTCAAAAAACGAACGAAGGTGCCACAAACACATTTAAGGAGGGCCTGTCGAATTTGGAACCGAGCCAGAACAGAGGGTCCTCCTGGGAATCTAGGATGAAGCATTGGCACCGGGAACGGAGGTAGTGACTCACTCGGATCACCAGGGCAGGGATTTTTTTCTGCCTGGAAGTCAAAGAGAACCAACAGAATCCCCACACTTCCTATTTGTGTACGTTGTAGCCAACCTCAGACACAGAGCGGGTCCTTGGTTTTGCAGAGGGGCAGCAAATGCCTCTCAGGTTTACCGCGGTCAAGATAATCGTCTTCCAAGCTTCCCCCTTTCCCTGGCAGACAGGTGGGAACTGTCCCAGAGCGGCAATGAAAACCAAGACGTTAATGACTCTGATGGCGGACGGTCCCGAGGTCTTGAGTAAGAATGAAATTAGAAGCCTTATTTATTTATTGATCGCCTTTGACTGTTCAGGAGACGATCCCCAGCGTCTCCCGTCATGCATAATAGAATAGGCGCGCCGACGACACTGAGCTGTCACTCCAGAAGCTTGAGTTCAGCCGGTGGAAGAGGAAGGATGCAGGTGCGTGATTATTTTTGCAAAAACACCCGCATTGCCTGAGGTGCTTGATGCGGGATTAGTGAGAATGAGGTTTTGCCCCAAGCACTGATTTGAACCCGGTCCCATGGCATTTCTGGCGGAGTACAGGCTCTAATACCATAATACTTCTTAAAGTCACATGGGCTAGCACGTCTCTCATCGCAGGAGGGCGATGGCTCTTCCTGAGCCACTGCAGCAGTCCGGTTCCAATGACAGGATGACTTGCCCCAGAAGAACCACAGTCTGCTTAGATAATGAGCAGCTTCTGGTTAACAGTTAAGGTTGAACAAAAGCAATGATCCACATCAGAGATATTTCTGTCTCCTCTGCAATAAATGTATCCCAGTGAAAACTTCCTCTACCTACAATCGGGGTTCAGCTGCTGGTTCTGTTCATTTTTTGGTTCTCTTACCCTGCCAGCTCCTCTTGGTTATCACTTTCTCTCCTATGTTGTTCTTTCTGTCAGACCGGGGCCTTCAAACGGAACTTCAGCTCACCGTTGCTCAACAATGACCAGCTACGCACCCTGAAGGAGGCCCCCTCTGCTCAGGGTAAGGCGCCACACCAAGGGTCCGCTACCGAGGACCGAAATCAGCAAGGAACAGAAAACAGGAGCGCGACGGCTGTAGCGCATGAAGCTCCCACCCCCGTCTAACTGTCCTTCTACCTTCACCCCATCAGTTAAAAAAGCGGTTCTCCTTACTTCCACATCCTTGTTTCAGCACCTCTATTGAACTTTCCTCAAATAGCACTTCTACCTTCAATTTCATCCCGAATGCTCAGAACTATTTGTAAGACCACTTACACTGAGAAAGTCAAGTGATGCATAACATCCAATCCAATCCATATATAACAATGATGTTTCCTATCCGTCACTGCTCAAGTTCTCAAACCCACCAATTATAAACGGATGTCCTCACCCAGTTCTATATCCCTGTCATTGTAAGTAGGTCGCTAGCCCAGTGACATGGCGACCGCTTGACACAGAGGTTTATTTCTCACACGACGGGTCAGCGGCTGAAGAGTGCAGCCTCTGCGGCTTGGCGGTAAGGGGTCTGTCTGCCTGTGTCTCCACAGAACAGGGGAAGGGCCGCGTAGACCCCGTGTACGAGACCCTGCGCTACGGGACCTCGCTGGCCCAGATGAGCCGCTCCAGCTTCGGCAGCATGTCCGAGTCGCCCACCTGCAGTATTGTATGTGGAGGGGCTTTGGGGGGGGGAGGGGTCCTGCTCATAACATCTGCTTTTGGTAGTTTTAGACTAGCTGACATCGTTGGGGGAAAAATGGAGGGTGTCTCACTGCTTATAACTGTGTGACATTTGCACAGGACGAGGGGGGGGAGGAACGGGAGGAACGGGAGGAAGGTCAGCCCCCCCCGGAGGAGGGGAGTTCTCTAGAGATGCCGGGTAAGACCCCACCTCTGGAATCAGGTCAGTTCAGTTCATTCCCAACTCAGCCCCCGCAGCTGTCTAAACAAAGACTTATCAACAGCGATCACAAGTAGATTTAAGTTAACTGAAGCACTCAGAAGCTGTATCTGTGAAGGAAGAGCTTTCAAAATCTTTTACTTTGCATGCAGATCCTTGGGATACTTGCTACAACAAGCAGTATGGGTCGTGTTAGCCTAGTGAACCTTAACTTAAATACCATGGACTGTGCTCTTTGGCTTACTAAACTTAAACTTTATCCTTGATCAGCTTTGTTGTTAGTTTAATCTCATGGTAACTCTGGCTTGGTCTAGAAGGCACCTGTGTTCTTGTGGCTAATGCGTTTGAGGGCACTTAACTGGGAATCCAATACAAACAAACACCTTCTTTGTTGAAAACGATGGGCCAGAACTCACTGTGACACCGTAATGCTCACTCTCTCTGCAAGAATCCTCCCCCCAGGAGAACGGGAAGGCAGATCCGGAGGATGGAGGTGGTCCAAAGGTAGGGTGGCTGGGACGTCGGTAAATCATCCATACTAAAAAATGCTCCCTCAAGCTCGCAATGCAGAGCAATGCTGGTAACTTTACTCTCCATCTCGTCAGGCTCCCAAGATTCACTCCATCCATACTTACGTAGCGCTCTACAAGTTTCTGCCGCAGGAAAAGAATGACTTGGAGCTCCAGTGAGTATATTTCTCTGTGTGTCCGTGTAGTCTGTTGCTGCATTAGTATGTCTGGTGTTCAGGGGGAACTGCTACCTCAAGCAGAAAAACTAACTATACACGTTCCAATAAGATTAGATTTTTGGCCATTTAGAGTTTATGCATCTACATGCGGATTTATGCAACATTTTCACATAAAAGGCAGGGATGCATCCAGATAGCATCTCGGCCAGGGATGTGGACCAAGCTGTAGTTCCCTCTGTCACGTGCTTCGCCTGATTTATTGCAGTTAGACAGAGCTATATAAACAAGCAACCAAAAAAATCTATTTGCATGAGCGTGTCGGCCGAAGAGCCAAACGTAACATAAACAAATGTGTCTGCATGGGAATTGCACAGAGAGGGTAAGGCAACAGCAAGCAAAGAGTGCAGGAATAGCAAAGGAAGGAGGAAGTGGAGACAGGTTGTGGTTAGGGATTTGGAGATGCTGTAATTGTGTTTGGAGGGAGGCGGTATGGGAGGACAGGGAGGTGCAGGGGAGTCGAGTAGCGAGAAAGAGAGGAGCAGGAGATGAGGACAGAGAGGGGAGGGCAGCAGAATGAGCAGCAATGGGCAGGTAGCAGAGGTACATAGTGAATGGTCTCAATTGGGCCATCTGCCGTCTCGCTGGGGTGGGTCAGCATGGGTCCGCACGCCCCCGCGAGGATCAGGCATCTGTGCCCCGCAGTACAAGCAGGAGTCATCGGTCCCAGAGTCGGCCCAAAAACAGTGACCCCCCCCCCCCCAATATGGGTCACATGATATGCAACGGTGCCATACTGCACAGATCCCAAGTAGAGGTCAGTTACGCATCTGTGCGAAATGCTGTATTAAATTCACACGGTCCCTGGAGGAACCCCCCCTGAATATGAACTCAAAACGATTTCGGATATAACATGCAAATTTTGAACATGATGGCCCGTGACCCTAAGCAGGTTAAATGGGTGAAGATTGATAGAAGGTTATGGTGGGCTAATAAAGACGTTTGCAATATTTATATGACAAATTGATTACATGAACCATGACACCAGCATTGCCTAATTTACTCTGTAGCGGGGTTTTCCACCAGGGACCACCAACCCCAACAGTAATGGTCGGGCCTCCCTTCATACTTGTCTCTGGGATCTCAAATCTCAAAGACAGGATTTAAAGAAATTGATTAAAAACAGGAGTGATACTTGGGTTTTTGGCAGGTTGGGAGCATAAGAGGGGACATAATTCATACAGAGGGGGTCAACCTTATTAGCCAATGATATGTCTTGAAACAGTGAGTGACAGGGGAGGGGGCACTCTGGGGGCCAATCAGCTTTCAGCAGGGGACAGTGCCCCTCTGGTCCTGCCCTTTATCTATGGGGGAGAGACAGGACCTTCAGCAGATCTCTGTAGTCCCGCTTCTTCATTTCACGTCCCACATTTCTCGTTTGCCTCCAGCCCTGGCGATCGAGTTCTGGTCATGGACGACTCTAACGAAGAGTGGTGGAAGGTGGGTAAGGATCTGCTGCCGAACATCCTGTAGATATCTGCCAGCCTCACGACGGGGCAGGACACGTTCCAACGTCTAAATAGGGGTTTCTCCTTGCTTTTGGGTGCTGTTGTCCTTTGTAGTTTATGACAGACACATGCATACAAGATCCTTTCCACATATATACAGATTTGATCTATGTTAAGAAAAAGCTCAAAAGAGTCATAGCACTCCGGCGGTAACATACCAGGCTATGTTCAGGAACTTATCACCATGGAAACGTTGTCTCCACACTGCGCAGGGCAAGAGTGGAGACAGGGTGGGCTTCTTCCCAGCCAACTTTGTGCAGAGGGTCCGGCCGGGAGAGCGAGTGTTTAGGGTCACCCAGGGCATCCATGGAAACCGAGAAATGGGCCAAATGACCGTAAAGGAGTCTCAGGTAAGAGGAGACGCTGGCGGCAGTCAGCCAATCAGAGGAGGCCTCTTCCGGGAACGCCTCAACCTCTCCGGCTCCCCACACCGCATTGGACGAAAGCATCCGCCAAATGAATGTAAATGCAAAATAGCACTTGCTTCAGTGGCGTGTGACTTCCTCTAATCCCACCCTGTGTTCTTCCCCTTAATGTTACACCCTTTAACATTCCGATCCTCTCACTGCCATCTTAGACTTTCCTCCATGACCATATTTGTTCATCTCTGTATTCCTTACTTACGTTTCTCCTCATTCCATCTATGGCTTCAGATCTGTGTGGGGAAGATGGAGGACAACGATGGCTTCCTGAAACTGAGCAGCGGGAAAAAGAGGGGCCTGGTGCCTTGCGATTCCCTGGAGGAGATATGAGACGCGTGGGTCTTTCATCTCCGGCACAGTCTACTTTATCCAGCCTGTCCCCCTGTAACGCAAAAGCAAAACACGGGGCTGGGTCAGGACCGCAGGACAAAGGATATCGCTTCAAAACTCCTAATAACCCAACACCCATCAGGGGAAAACAGGAAAGAGGAGGAGGAGATCCTCAAGGAAACTGACCAGGAAGTTAAATTTCAGAATGATGTTCCTATCTAACCCCCTCGGCCTGGCAAAAATGAACAACAGAAATCCATTAACGTTACAAGACTGGCTCCAGGGAGAGACAGCACCAAGGCGGCTCGTGGAGCATATTGCCACATCTTTCTTGTGGAATCACAACGAGGCTGACCCAGCAGATTGCAGCTTCCGAGCTATAACTGAATCTTCAGTGGTCATCTGAACCAATCGGGGAATCAAAGGGATCAACCGCTTGGTCCCCACGCCAAGACTCTTACATTCTGGAGAGCGCTGGTGTGCAGACGTCTTCATGCCAGATCCCTTCTGTGGTAGAATCACTTCTCTCCTGGATGTCCATGAGGTTGGGGCTAAATCAGGGAGAAGGGAATCACATGACGGGACGCCTCTCGTGACCGTATATGGGGATCTAGCTGGACATTATATTTCAGAGGTCTTGCTTTGTGTATAGCTTTCGTTATTACAGGATGTTCTGCTGGTCTAAGGTACACAGACACTCCTAGCAGAGTAACATCTCAGGTCCGCTGTGGGAAGATCTATTAAGAGTAACGTTAAGGTGCCAGTGAAGGCTGTTCTTTTTTGTACATTTAGCCACTTGAGTTTAAACTGGGTCCCTGAGCGGAGACCATTTCCAGTCTATTTTGGACCTGTAGCACCAGTTGCTATTTCTGTTAATCCGTTTTCTTCCGTTTTCCGCAAGAAGAAGGCCTGGATCTTCACAGGACACAGTAATTACAGGTGCACGCTGTTTTACTTACCCATGTTTAATTGACTACACACCATTCTCAGAAACGTCCACACCTTTCAATATTACACAATGCAATTAAAAGCCTAAAGTCTCAGTTTCTGTTGGGAAAATAACATTTTTCTTTTTCAGGAGACTGGTAGCAGTCACGATGCTATCACCAGATACGGACAGCAAAAAGAAACATGACTAAGTTATTTGCTGGAATTTTCCTATAATGTTTTGCAGTGAACTGATTCTGTATAAACGATTTCACTCATAGGTCCCCCCATAAGTGAAAATCCTGATATTTTCTTGTCGATGCTGCGCTACAAGAACAACAAACAAAAGCAACTGGGGAAGACGAATGAAGTCCTTGATCCCAGTCCAACTGGCAGGCGTGCAAACCGATAAATGCCAAAAGTCTGTTATCTGATTAGAGGGGAATAAAAATTAGAGGAACGATATACAGATCATGTTGTTTTTGTGCAGGATAGAGGTACCGATCAACGTAGGCGAGCAGAAATGACTTTTGAGCTGTGTAATGGGTAGACCCATTTCCAGGGCATGGACATTTTGACCTGTGTATTTTTTTCCTCTCCCTCTGCTTTAGGTGTCAGTGTCTTTGAGGATGAGGTCAGGTCCCCTGCTTGTTTCAAAGTCAGAGTGGGGCAGGGGCCCTGATATTCCACAAGCTACCCTTTCATTTGTAGCTCCTTGTGCCACCTTCCGATCTACCCGACCTCATTTTGTTGAGGTCAGGCTGCAAGTTAAGTCTCAGTCCCTTGTTGCTCCGCAATGGCACCTCATTCCGACCTTTTCTAGTTTCAAGCTCCCTGAAACGCTCCAGCTACCCTACATGAACTATCTTCTTTCCTGTTACTTCTTTCCAAAATAAAATTGTATACCTTAGACTTTTTACATTAGTAGTTGGATTCTAACCGAAGCGATTGATAAGCACATTCTTCATGGTACACCAACGGCGCCGATCTGGATATTAAATACGCAGACATACGCGGACATACGCAGAATTTTCCAGTTAACCAGCTGCTGTCTTTTGTGTAAAGTAACAGCTCGAGGGCTTCAGGATCAGTGAGACGTTGGCCTTCACTGCACTGTACTGGCCTTGAAAACAATTACTGATTCTTATTTATGGAGGTGTGCATTTAAGGAAATACATTCTAGCCACAGAAGGAAGATCGCGATAATGTAGATCTTCGAGGTACTTCATTAGACACCTACCCATCTACACTCCCATCATAAAAATGTAGAATATTTAGATAAATTACTAAACTATTTAGGTACTTGTTCAGCTTCTGCTACAAGCTGTTTCACACTTCTCAATTATATCCTCACCATTTTTCAAGACATGACTTTGTCTCCATGTTTTGCTAATGTAAAATAAGATATAGTTTTACTTTCACCATGGTCGGCTAAGGGTTCATCGGCAGATATGTGAAATACAAGAGATGACCTTTAGATCAAGGGGAAAAAAAAATTGTCCATTAATTTTTTGCCTATATTAAAAATGAAATAACTTGACAATAAAGGAATCATGAGTCTAAATCTCCCTCAATCCTGGAATCACAGATCATTAATCGGCTTAGCAAATGGCTACAGTCAAGCAGTGGGTGGTCACAGGCTACGTGTTCCCTCCTCGCTGCTGACTGTGAACTTAATTCATGTAGACGGTCTGTAATATCCACCATTGTCGGAGGTGTGTTCTACACAAGGAACCATTTTATGCATCACTCCAATAAAGTTTCAGAAGATTAACATTCAGCTGTCTGGTTGGCTCTTTTTCCACCCGGTCTGTTCTCTGCGCTTTGCCACTTGCATCACGGGTGACGAAAGAGACCGACTGTGCAGGAAAACGATTATGGGAGAAAAGAATCTCGAAGATCCTTGATCACTATTCAAAGGGGAAGGAACGTTTGTGCGTAATATAAACTGCACTATAAAGAGTGTGACTCAGCGCAGGCAGTTAACAGAAAGCTTTAGGGAGAAGGTCGGTGAAAAAGGCACCGGAGTGTGAGTTTGTGAATAAACCCGGCAGCCTGACCAGGCCTGGTAGAGATCATACTCTTCAGTGACGGTGAATGGGGAGCAGTCGACCCTCACTGCAGCTGATCACGGTCACACACTGCTGGAGTTTCGTGGCGTGATGGTCAGCACACTCAGCTTTGAAACCCAGTCATCCTGATGGGAAAAGCAAGGTCCAAACAGACCGGCTTCAGGGGTGGTCTGTGGCTCAGCAGGTCAGGGCACCATACTTGTAATCGGAAGGTTGCCAGTTCAAATCCTAGGGTTGGCAGAGAGGGATTTCACCATTTGGCTCTTGATAAAGACCAATAACGTTCAATTGCTGACCCTCCTTGCCCCCCCCCAAAAAAAAAAAAAAAAAAAAAAAAAAACCGGTACAGTGCTTTGGATAAATTGTAATTATATTCACAATCGAGCTCCCAACAAGGAGGATACCAAAGCACAGCTCACAGAAGCTAATTTTCTTAACCCCTAACATCCCACTTAAGGAGTCTAACTCTAACTGTCAGGACCGGTGACAGTCACAGAGAGAGCAGAGCCATTCATCGCGCACAGGCTCCAAATGGGGCTCTCTGCTTCAGTTCCAGAAGCCCCTTATTATGAAAGAAAGCCCAGATCAGGGCAAAAAGCAGAGACACGTTGTCCCTGACGGCGTTCCATGCGATTTACCTCCCCGGAATTCCATCCGGCATGTCTGCGGGAATATACACACGACTGGTGTGAAGAACAGGGAGCCAGAAGTATTTACCGAACGTCCCACACCCCAAACCGCCATGTGATCACAAACGCACGGATATGCCAGTCACATGTGGCGGCGAGCGTTTGCCGTGCAAAATTTCATGCGCCACTCTCCCCTCTCAGTAAAGCCATAAGAGCAATTCGGATAATCAACAACAGAGGAGCACCTGGCGGGGAGCGACTGGTGCCTGACAAGAGGAGGTGACACGTGTGTATTCGAGCCTCTACCCTTATTGGCGCTCTGTGCTGCAAACGACGGCATAAACAATAAGGAAAATATTCTGCAGTGATGTACATTTTGCATCAATTCTCAATGAAAACACAGACAATATAGCCAAATATCTGGAGGGGTTGGCAAGGTGGTACGAATTCCTGTGAGGCCGCATTTAAACCCGGAACTGGTGAGCTCTCTGGAACCAGGTAACATAAACCAGGGTAATTCTCGCCTAAGTCTTAGTGGCATACAACGTCCTAAATTAAGAATCACTTCCAACAGAAGCCGCAGAGAATCCGCCAAGTCAAACAACACATTCAACGTCCATCAAAAGCCCAACAATTCTAACGGGAGTGACTGTGGTGAGCCAAATTAGCTACTATAATATATCCCATCTGCATAGGGGCTGTAAAGCCCATGAGGGATATTTTTAGGTATCCCACACAATTAAATGCACCACCCGTCGCATGTTGTGCCGTAGACGCGCATTATAGCATAAATATAACGCCCGAGACATCTGCTGCGATACAGCGCTCCACCGCATCACTCTATTATTCACCAGCGACCCCATTACATCAGAACAAATAATCCACTCTGCAAAAATATTACATCTGCAGGGTCAATGACGAGACACGTTCTGTCACTCGCTGCTTCGTCTTTGTCCTGCTTCATGCACATTTCTGCGAGACAATTCTTTCAGAAAAAAAATGATGGCAGTGCAGCATGCCAAAAGCAAGTTAATGCAGGGGACTGAAGCGCCTTTGATCTTAGAGCGACGCGTTTGCCTGGGCTGCCAGAGGGAGACCCACAGCCATTTGTAATTTCATTAACAATGGTCACAGTACAACTAATACATAAACCACATTACCACTGACAAAATCCATAAATAAACCAACATTCCCATTGACATTAAAGTAGTTTTACATTTAACTGACCGTCGTGCAAGTTGACGACAAAAAAAAAAAAAAATCACTGAAGCCAACTTTCCTCCTCAAAGGTTCAACAGCAGCAGCCTGATCATTAACCGCTACAAATCCCATGACCTGAAATCGACACGTTGTCCTTGTTCCCTAGTAACCCCCTTTTGCCTGTAATCATTAATGCATCGAATGCATTTTCCTTGTCAGTTTTGGCATTTGTCACATTAATGGCAAAAAAAAAATAAAAAAAAATACACCAGTGTTGACACAATTTCATATTCATGGGCGAGACACGAAAATAACCGACACAGAAAGGCATTGCTGACGCGCTGAGATCATCATTCCTGATGCAGCTGAACTCCTGGGACTCATCGCCTTCATCTTCTGGCTGGAAGATGAGGTTAGTCTGCATTACTTGTCTGTACAGCTGTATTAATAAAAATATATGTCATATCATTTTACAGAGGATATTCAGCTACTGTTAGGTAATTGAAGCACCCCATACTAATGTTGTAGTTTAGCTTCCACTCCCATACGTTCGTGTTACCTCTGTATACTCCCAAACATACTAACCCAATTTGACTTTACCTTTGGTGCAACCTGCCACCAAGCCCTGTTGTCACTCATCCCAACTTGCCCCTGACATTTTTTCCCCTCGTTCCCTTAATGTTCCCTCTCTCGCCCCAGTCAAACCACTTTCACCCCTCCCCCAACCTCCCACCAATTTCCATCACCGACCCTCCGGTCTTTGTCATTCCTCACGCTAGTTGTGACCTAAAGCAAATATTAGCTTCATGTAGTGACGGTCCTCACCGTGGGACATTTCACTGTGACGTCCTGCTAGCCCATTTCCAAGGCCAAGCTCTGGGGACTCTCCATATCGCACAAAACGGCGTGTGTGCGCGCGCGCACACACACACACACACACACACACACACACACACACACACACACACACACACACACGTCCCTGTACGTGGCTGAAACTAGGAAATGGGGGCAGAGAGAAGAGAAATGCTATTAATGTCATTGATATTAATCACCCGGGTCACTGGTGACCCTTTCCGGATTCCATCCTGCTTCACGCAGATACCGTCCACATTAACTTCAGCATTGCTGCCCATAAACCCTCATCCTTTAATTAAAGCGTCACGCTACCCGTGCAAAAATCAGACAGTAGCAGCTGGTTTTCCTGTCCACCACATTTTGCTAATTTCTTTTTAAAGGCTGACAAAAACATAAGCAGCCCTGCTCCAAAATCTCCCTCCCCCCCCCCCAAGCAGGCAACTGCAAAGGGGAAGCCGGTCAATCAGTGGAAAGGGAATAAACGATGACATCATACATTCAATCCGGTCCTCAGGGACAGTCCATGTTTTTGCTCCCACCCAGAAAATGTGGACAGTCTGCCAGGGAGATAAAATGTGGACCATTTGGGGGGGGGGTGGTGGTCCCTGAGGACCGGGTTGAGAGACACTGCTATACATGGCTGTGTTGGGGTGTTAGAGCCAACATAAACCGAAGCTAAATTCACCTTTACAGATTACTCCAGTCTCTCCCCGATTCTACCACCGGTCTTATTCACTGGCCTCGTGGTCCCTTCCAGGGGCAGGCAAGGGTTACGTAATCAGCGGAATGCAAAGGAACGGAAGTTCTGCCAACTCATTCTGGAGGATACATCTTCATTTACAGCCCTTGGCCCCCCCACGGTCTTCCAGACCACTATTTGGGGGGGGGGGGTCCATCCTCCCCTAACTGTTGACAACCTTTGCTCAAGATAAGTGGCAAATTGAGTGCCTCTCCATTAGAGGGTCCTCTATAGGGAAAGTGCAGCCCCACTAGTTTAAGGGGGGGGGGGGGGACTGCTGGAAATTTCCCAGTGGATCACAAAAACAGGCGGAAAGACCTTTTGTGGTCCATGTCCTCTGCCTTTTATTTGTGACACACTGGCTTTAAACAGCAGCGAATGGGAAAGAAATTACATGAAAAATAAGGCTTTGCACGAAAAAAGAAAGTAATCCCCAGCTGTGAGGAACAGGGATATTCTGCATAACACAGGGACTCATGGGGCCCAAAAAGCAGAGTAATGCTCACGGAACTCCAGCGTAATAAAGGGCAGAGCGTGAAGGAGGCGTCGTTTGGGCTTTAAGCCATCGCCCATTACCATGGTGATTGATGATGGGCCCCATGGCCAGAGACGCCTCAGGTAATGAAATCCAGCTGGCCGTGACTGGACTGATTACATCGTTAGGGATAAAGAGAGTGAACCGTGTTGACAGAGGAGTGAGTTTGAGGCACTGGCTTATTGGCCGGTCTATTGTAGATTTCCCCATTTGTGACACAGGTCTCTAATGCGTTTCCATACCCCAGCTGAGGCTGTTGCTGGAAGGAGACGTGTTTTGCCAGTCGTGCCGTTTTTGGCCTGACGCATATGGCCAGCGTCCCCATTGGATGTTGCGTAAAGAGCACATTTACGGCTAATGCTTTTATTCGTAAATGCAGCTACGGACATTTATGACAACAATTTAGAGGGTGTGTTACAGGGGAGTGGGGGCCGTTACCTCACTTCTTTCCTGGTTTTGGGACCGTTTTCAAGCATTTTAACCACAAGTTTTCATTTGCTTCTTTACTGTATTTGAGATCACAGTCAAACGCTGTACCTTTTGACACTATTACAGGGAAGATTTATTCTGTTTAGTGTAACACAGGACGTTGCCAGTCCTAGTCCTGATCCACACCAGGCATTCAGGGCCGCAGTCTGAGGCACGACCCCCCACCCTAACCCCCAGAGTCTGACAGACTAACACCAGGCCAGTGTTACCATTTGCACATAAAGCTAGATCTTTCAAGCAGAACCCCCCCACCCCCAAACTCATGAGTCGCGTGTGTTATACTTGATCCTTGAGGCACAAGTTTGTGTTATGAAGACCTGCTTCTCTTTGGAGATGAAAGGTACCACCGACTAGCCCCCCACTTCCTGATTCGCAACAAACCAGCCAAGCAGTGCGTGTGGACCATGTCATCACATAAACCCCTATTTCCTGGTCTGATAAGTAAACAAAGATACTGTAGGTGTAAAAATGGAAACCAAAATGAAGGAGGAGATGAAGTACAACCACCAGACCAGCTGATTTTCCCCAAAGCTGGGTTTGGTCCCCATCAACAGGCAGCAGTTGTACTCAACAGGGCACCCAGGACCCTACAAGGTAGTACTTTTAACAAAAACAGGAAAATCCTAAGTCAAAATGCTCCATCATGGTACATGGAGCTGGTTGGGCTGACTGTCCACTCCAATCAGCTAAAGCAGGGCAACAGGTGAAGGTTTTAAAAGCTGGAAACTCAGGAAGGACCACAAACCATGCCAACAATTCACCACAAGGGGGCAGCATTGCAACCTGACAGGAGGAGAGCTCAAGGGCCACCATAGTAGGATGGTGGATGATGGTTAAGGGGGGTCCAGGCTTCAGCCCTCAACAGCTTCTTATGGGGGGGGGGGGGGGGGGGGAGCGCCAGTAGGCAGAGGCTACACCCAGTCAATGGAATGGTTCTAAATTGTATGGGGTCAGTTCAAATATTGAGACCTGCCACAGTGTGTGGACCCATTCAGAGGATGTACTTTGCAGCAAGAGCAGATTCAAAAACGGTTTGTTGCAGAAGGGGCGTAAAGGGGATGAGGAACCACAGCTGACCAGCGTGGAACCACCACAGACCCTTTCCAGCATTTACAAAATTACCACAGTAAATTTACCAGCTCAGATAAAGCAGAAGGAAAAAAACAGGCAGGTAAAAAAAAGCAGAGCAGTAAATCGATGGCAGTTTGAGGACAGAGAAGATCTATAACATCTCACTCCATCTCACGGCCTCCAACCTGCACAGCAACCATCTGTGCTTCCAGGTCCAGTTCCCAGCATGCCTCACTGTTGCATGTAACTCACTAATGGAGACACGCTTGCTTAGGAGGACCCCCTCCATGCCACATGTCCTTTGGCTTGGCCACTTGCCCCCCTCCTACCGGCTCTCCGTGCTCCCGGGGCACCGTCTCCCACCCCTTCAGACACCCTGCCGGGGAAATCCAATCACGCCGCCTGGATGAGAGCCCTGACCTCCAACGTGACTCCCGCCTCATCTTTCGGCACGCGGTTCTCCTTTTGCAGAGCTTGTGGCCGGGCGACAGCGATTAAGGACATTCCAATGGCCGTCTGAGGCTCAGCGAGCTTAAAAGGCAAGATTGGCGATTAAAAGCACATCCTGCTGTTTTTGGGCATCGCCTGGCCCTACACCGGGACCTCAGATTGGGTGATCAGACAGGAAGGGCTGAATGAAAACCTAAGAGACCTGGTCGACCATCAAAGGCCTAAATAATCAAACCCAATCAACACAACCCCCTGGACCACCTTAAGTGGGTGGAGACCTCAACCTCCACCCCCGATGCTCAACCCAATGGTATACCCTTAAGGACCACTCCCTTTACAACAGTTAAGAACCTTTATGAATTGGGGGGGACCAGGTGAGTGGGCAAGTATTTACAGCAGCATAGAGAGCTAGTCAGACTACCCCACCCCTCCATAGGAAGGGGAGCTATTCCCGAACCAGGGCGGACAGTTATGCCGTGTGGCCGGCTCCGGATTCTAGGTCAGCTATTCAAGAAGGGGGAGCTGGAGGACTATCGGGCCCAGGAATCTGGCGGCTGACCCACTTCAGCAGGTTCTCTAGATTCCCCGAAACGAAACAGCACTTCGTCTCCACGCCGGAGCTCACTCACACCCCTCAGCGATCATCTTCTATTTGAGGAACGGAGAGATGTGGCAGATAAGGGTCACTAGCGTTCTGGGTGCTTTAATGCGTCGCTTTAACTTGAAGTTGCTTTTCCTGGCAGAGCCGACGGCAGACAGGGGCACCGCTAACCCTCTGCATGACAGAGATGGAAATGAATGATTGAAAAGCTGAGGGCTGCCACTTACACCCCCTCCCAACAGTAAATCATAGGCCCCCCTGGTCTCCCCCACAGGCTCCCTGCAACAGAACCCAGGTCCTCATTCAAATAGTAAAACTGACAAAAGAACCAGTACTGAAACCAGGGCTTCCCAGATTAAAGTAACACAGAAGCATCAACGGGGTCCTTGGAGGGATTTATATTTAAAAAGGGCAACTTAATGCATACCTCCTTAAAACTCATTGGAGGCCCACATGGGAGAGAAAGGTACCCGATTTTGGATGCTGTACACCTCATTCAGCTAGCCAGCGAAGTTTAGAATCACCGTTAAGGATGCAGACAAAGGCGATCCACACATTACTGCCAAAGTTTAGTTTGATTAGTGTGATCGCTCTGCTGTGCCCAGGCCCGCTGGAAGCTGGATCCGGGCATGGTTCAGCTGGACTCGGGCACTGTACCAAGCCGGGAGTATCGTGTTCAGGTACAGTACAGGGCAACTGGGCCAACTGAGTACAGCCTAAAAGTACAACATGGTCAAGTTGTCTTGTACCCATGACATGGTACTGGTCAGGTGACCCTTTCCACACCCCCAAAAGCACAGTACATCAGGTGACCCAGTCAATACTGCCCATAGCACTGGAGTCTCATCTACAGGACCGTTCCACCTCTACACCACCCGCTTCCTGGGAATGAGCTTTAGGTGCCATGATCTCACCTAGATGTTATTTCTGAAAACTAAGCCACAGGCTGTACAGCACAAGTCACTTCAGTGAGCGGATGTGTTAATAGAAGCGAGGACAGAAAGAGTGGCTACTGAGCTCGAAGGGCATTGCAAACGGGTCCTGCAGGGTCAGGGGTTTGAAAGCCAGACTAACCTGTAGAGAAAGGAATCCTGATCCTCTATTCTGTATGATATTAAAGAAAAACCGCTAAAAATGTCACCAGTAGTTTGGTCACAAAATTCGTCACCTCTGCCTGTTGATTAGCCGATACATTACACCAGTATATATAATCAGGGATTGAGTAATTGTACGTCTTGTACTTCAAATCTTATAAGACTTCACACAAAAGCATAAGTGACAAAGGCCACCTTAGCTAGCTGTCACAGCGGAACGTTACGCAGGCAGAAATCAGCGGCCTGAACTGATTAAGCACTGCTGTCAAGCGTAATGACCATCCCTTCAAGCAGCACCTCAGGAAGTACCTGCCGATTTGCGGGGTCCCAGCCGGCATTAACGCAGGGACTCACTGGGCATACTGCCCACTCTGGAAATCCTTGCTTGGGACTTCAATACAAATGCGTGACGGTCGCGAAACGCTGCGCAAGCCAGGCAGACTTCAGAAGCGAAAATTCAGGACTCCCAACAAATTACAAGAGCCGGCCCCTTTTCGAGCAAAGGTAAACACGCATGATGAAATGTTGGGGCAGAAATGAATAAAGCAATCCTACATTCCCCATTGTCTTCTGAAATTCATATTACCATGGAAACCAGTCTCCACTGCCCCTACCCAAACCCCCTGAATTGTACATACGGTCATGAGACATCCCCAATCTCCCATTACAATAACTTATCCATTACCCAAAAGTCTCACAGCAGCCCAGATCCTAGGTATTGGATTTCGCAAGATCGCCTAATGTGTTTACACAGACAGGAACAAATTCAAGACTGACATCCAGCCCCATGCACCACAGCAAATGTTTGAAAGTCATCGTCTGTTTAAAAGGCAAAGTAACTTGCTACTTTGGAAAGCACTTTCCCCACTGAGCGCTCAGGTCAAGTATGAACAGGGACCCGGGGCCAAAGCCTCACCCTCTACATGCCGACGGTAAACCTAGGAGGGATGGTGCCTATTAAAGAGCCAACAGAAGGGCAACGGATATCAAGGACAGGAGATCACATCTAAAACGTGCAACATTGCCCAGGCTGGTGAGATGAACAGGCCAGTCAGCTTCAGGGACTGCAACAGCAGAGCCTGATAATCCGAAGGAGGCCTGTGCACATATACCAAACACGGGAGCAGGTATTACAAATGCATCCATAACACAGGGGGTTCAAACAAGTCGATATGCTGAATTTCAGCAGATTAACCTAAGAGTCAGTTTCTATTTACAGACACAGCCTGAAGGCACATGTATCAGAGGTCATTTCAGACAAACCAGCTGGATCCAGATTGCAGTAAACTAAAACTGGGTAATGTTTACTGTTAAAGGTAGGAAGGTATAGAAGTTTAATACTATGCCAGCTTCTGCAAAGCGGCAGGAATTAGGGTCCATCAACTTCAGAGATAAAATGATACCCATTTTGTGCATCTTCATTTAATGCACGCTATGTTGGAGAATAAATTAAAGTAGTTTAATACTACAAGGCTTGCATCCAATGGGATAGTTAAACCATTCTTGGTGACTGAAAACCTTTCAGTGTAGTAAAGAATTACACTACAATGGGGATGTTAATACTGAGCATGGGATGGCAGATTACACACACACACACACACACACACACGTTAAGCCTCCAACCAAACCCATGAAGTCTCAAACTTGCCCTCAGCTTGTTTCTAAATAGAGCAGCGTTACTCCAATTTGACACGAAGCAACACAGGATGGCACTGATGTCATTGCAGCTGCAGTACATGCCCACTGGCCTGTAACACCCTCACACCAAGCAAAATCAAGTTAATGGGGCCAGGAATGGTTACTGGGAGGGGAATTAAACTAAACCATCAGTTCAGTGGTCAGACAGCTTAAGGCAGTGGGTCTCTGGGCAGTTTATTTGGTCAATTAACCAATTTTGATGCATACAGAACACAACGTACAAAAGAAAAACTGAGAATCCAAAATGTGTTAAATTCATGCCATTGAAAGGCAACTAAATACCTCACATTTAAACAAACTATAGTACTTTAAGGGTTACTACCCAACCCAAAAATCCTTTCCCGCAAGGTTTAACCAGTAGGTGGAGAGACGGGCTTCAGGCTGAAGAAATCACGCAAGTTGACCTCTTGCGCCACAGGCCGTGGGATCTTGCGCTCGTTGAAGAGATTGGAGAGGTTGGCCTCCATCGTGAGGCGCCGTCGGAGTCGCATGCGCAGGGCAAACAGCCGACTCAGGTCATCCTCCACTAGGGGGCGCTGGCCGTAACCCACAAGGCGCTTCTGCCAACTCTTGCTGGACCGCTGCCGTTGCTTCTGCTGCAAAAGTCATGGCACCTAGTCCCTCACCCATCACTACAAGCCTCTGCCAGCAGGGGGAGCCCTACCAGCAGCTTTCACTCCTTGCTGTACCATGTACACTATATACGCAACAGAAATGTACCAAGACTGATGGATCACTCAAAGTTTAAAAGCCTAAGTCTCAACTGCGAGCCCCATTGCCTCCAAGAGGTAGAACATCCACGGTACCTTCAGCCTGGAAGCATAAGGGTCATGGTGAACCTGGTGTCTGTTCAGGCTTTCCTGTGGATCAAGCAGCCAAAAGCAAAAATAATCATGCACAAGTTAAGAGAACACCTGGGGATTACCATCCTCTGTACTTCTAGAACAGGCTTCTTCAACTCTGGACCTCAATTCCAAATCCAGGCCGTGTTTTCAGTTCCCCCAGGTAGTTGTTTAATAATCACTGATTCTGATTGGTCAGAGGCTTCACACCTGACTGACAGGTAAAGGAAGGCTGGAAAGCCAGCAGTGCTCGGACCTAGAGGACCGTGAGTTGAATAACCCTGTTCTAGAATATTGGAACCGGTGAGTCTACTGGAATGGAAGACGACGTAGAACGGACACAGAACAGTGTAGTACTGTCAAGTATGCATTCTGATAAATACCCCAAAACTGATTCAAAGTATGTAATCTATGTTGACAAAGCTATCCTAGCAACTAGGCTGTATTTCTGGTGAGCATATTAAAATGGATCATGAACCCAGAAGCAGGCAACCTTGAAGCTGGGGCAGACGGCAGAGGTGACACTCACACGCATGGCAAAGGCGCGCTGGCAACCTGGCTGGCTGCAGTGGTACTTGAGCAGCTGCAGGTGCACCTTGCGGATGTGGTGCTGCAGGTTGAACGTGGTGGAGAATTGGGCGGGGCAGCCGAGTCGGGGGCAGTGCAGGGCAGGTTTCTGCTGGACGTGGCAGCGCTTGTGGCGGCGCAGCGCCTTCCGTCTGTCAAAGGCCTTCTGGCACTGCTTGCAGGTGTACGTGGCTAAAGGGGAGGGGGCAGATTAGATATTGCACATCTGGCCACTAGGTGGCAGCAAAACAGACAGAAACTGACCACTGAACAGATCTGCATACAATACCACCAGCAGAAGGCGCACTGCCATTCACCACTTAGTTTCAGCCAATCCTAAGACCCACGCTTTCAGAAGCTTCCGGGTGTATTAGGACTGACTTCAGTTCTTCGATTTTCATCTTTTGCCAAACAAAACCAGCTGCAGGAAGTTACTTGGGAGACGCAGCAGAACTTGGGTATGTAGATCGGCTACGTTTGCCAAACAGTACAGCGGGCTCCAGCTGCCGCTCCCAGAAGGCTGGTCCCCCCCCTCCCAATCTGTACTCCTGCCATTTTCCAATCACACCAGCAGGCATAAAACAAGCAGCACACCAGCTACGGGAACATTGAGGCGGGTACCTGGGTGCTGGCGTGCGTGCTTGACCATCTTATCCCAGGTGGGCGCCACCACCTGACAGCCAGGGTTAGGGCAAGCGTACCCTGGGGAGAGAAAGACCTTCAGGCAGATGACAGGAAGTACTGACGTGAATTTCAAGTTTAGAATTCTGATCAAGTACAATCGATGAATGCTTCAAGCTCTATCGCCGATCGACCCGAAGATACAGCTGCGGCTTACGCCAGGTCCCTCACCCGAGTGTCTCCTTTCGTGGGCCCTGCGTGAAATGCGGGTCTCAAACGTGGCCACGCAGCCCTTGACCGTGCACCTGGAAACACGAGCAGAAGCCAGGGACAGTTTGGCTTAAGCCCAGCCAACAACACAGCTTTTCACCAAGATCCCAGCAGGTTGTCATCAACAAAACATCCAAAGGGAACATTTACACAAAACAGCAATCGCATGTCCCCATTGTTAACCACAGGAACGCCGCCATTTCAATGCTAATGGAGTGCACAGCAAGGACAGTGCAAGCCCTTAACATGGACAATTAACAGCATTTCAACAGTACAATTACCATTTGGCAGTCAAAACAGCATCCATTTCTAAAGCCAGGATGGACCATTCTGGGCCACTGCACATGCCCCTGTGCCCCTTCAGCCACCTCCCTTTGACATCCAATTAACACATTATGTACAATCATGAAGAACCTTTGACCATTTCGGATTCAGAATTTTGATGCCTTTTCAGCACTTAATCTATATTTAACCTATCTCTGAACACTTTTGCCGTAATATTTGACTAGGAGTATGAAAATCAAGCCTAAATATCTAGGGGTTGCAACCATGGTTAACTGATGGACATTTTGATCACAACATTTACCCATAGACATGCTATTTTTAAAAAGGTTATAGTCTCAATCATTTTGACATTTGCCTGGAGAGGTCAGTGATCCTTGTTATTGTGATTAAAAAAAAAATCCATAACCCAACAACACCAGGAACGGACCTCCATTTGAATTCCTGCTGTAATATAAAAGTTCAGTGATGAACATTAATATTTCATGCAGGCAAGAAGCTGCACATTGAGCCCTTCCTGGAAAGGGAAGGGGAGCCGAACTTAATATCCTACTCTGCAGAAGGCTGACCGCAAATCAACGCGGCTGGAAGCGGGAGGTAGAAGCAGACCTCTGCAGACGCGTCCTTATCTCCAAGTCTCATGCGACTGCCTCACACGCTAAAGCTTCAGGCAGCTGCTCTAGAAGCTGGGCAGGAACTCAGGACAGCTGGACACCTCCAGCAACATAAATACGGAGGAGTTTTGGAGAAAGACTAACTGATTGTATAAAACGCTGTAATGTTTCTCCATTTCGTTAAAGACAATGAACTCATGGATTTTCACTTAAAACTATCCCATAGATCCCAGAACCAGTGGCCTGTACTACGAAGCGGGGTTACTGGCATATCGGGGTAACGTCGAATTTAAGGTACCACAGTTTAAATGGACTTCATATTCGTTCACTTACATTTTGCCCAGACTACCTTAAATCCGACAAGTTACCCCAATAAGCAAGTAACCCCGCTTCGTAGTATAGGCCTCAAGGCTCCTAAACCAGTTTAATAACCAAGTGTCATACTTTACTAAAACTGACATCCCACATTGCTGAATTTCCTAGAACATTCAGCTGAAATGCACAGGCAGCAGTCCGCACTCACTTGAAAACTGGGGTAACGCCATGGACCTTCAGGTGCATCTTGTAAGCCTTGCGTTTCCTGAACGTCAGGGTGCAGGCTGGGTAATGGCACTGTACACAGCACAACAGTCATTTAAACCCACACACTCCCAAGAACGGCAGCATTACAAAGGTAGTATCTTAAACCTTAGCTTTAACTTGTCCATGAACTGCTTCAATTTAGATTTATGTGCTTTAGATTTTCATTTACCGAAGACCGTAGATCAATAGAATCACCTACGGGACATTCGCAATTGTCAGAGAATGAGCAAGTGCGTTTTGAGCACCAAACTTGTGGGAATATGGCTCCACCTAATGGACAAACCTTGAAGTACGCGTCCTTGTTACCGTGGCTGTATTGCGCATGTCTCTGCACGGACCTCGAGCTGAGAAAGCGCTTTCCGCAGTTCCCGTAGGTGCACCTGTAAAAGCGTCAGCATCGTTTCTAGTCGATAAATACGCACACAATATGCTATATGCGCGGGATATTTTAAACCTGAAAGGCTTCTCTCCTGTATGTCCAAGTTTATGGCGATTGAGGTGCTTTTTCCTGGAGAAGCTGCGTTCACAGCCCGGCGCGGGGCACCGTAGGGGTCGCTGGTAGGGAGACAATACGACTTAAAGGAAGATTGAAAGCAACCAGTTTAACGCCACAATGAAATGAAAACCCCGACTTCCCCGGTTGTTCATGGACAAACATACCTCACCAGTGTGCACGCTTTCATGCTCCTTACAGCGCCACTCCCTCGAAAACGCCGCAGCGCAGCCCTCATGACCGCAAACAAAGCGCTTCAAGCGAGGAATCGCGTCTAGTTTCTCCTCGTTTAAACCATTCATTTTCAACCATTAAACAAAGTAACTAAACCTCCTATTTCTCACGTCGTCTTAAAGAAAGCGGCACGCCTCGTTTGACAAATATATAGGCTTCCTTCCTACTCGTCAGCATGAAGTTTAACCACCTGTATGACATTTAATCTAATTCCCAGATGAGATCAGGATTAAGTAAATGGTTTGAATAATTATCGGTTGATTCTGATTATCTTACTCAGACACGTAAATCTGTTTATTTAAATTATACAAAAATTACTATATGTAGGCTACACTAACAAAAAAAATGCCAATCTGTTTTAATGTGATCAGGGTTGCCAACTTTGATCAGTTGGCTGGCTGGAGATTTTGGAGATTTTCAATTAGAGACGAGTCTGCACACACATGCACACGCATTTGCATGTATGTAACAGTTTTAGGGTTTGCAAACTGCCCCAACACTTTTGATGTAACCAATCTTAGGTTTATAATGGAACAATATAGGTTTGCCGAAAGATTTCTTGCGTCAGTATGAAAGCGCCAGAGTCATGCCAGATGAGTTGGCAACCCAGACTACGTAGTTAGCATTTTTTAAATGCCATGTCCTTTGTAACAATTGCATTGATAAAAAATATCAGCCAAAATTCCTCATAATGGTGGCATCTGAGACAAAAAGGTGTTAAATGCAATTATCTCAGAAACGTCACCTTGAGTGATAAAACCCTTACTTTTATTGCTTATGAACAGAGGTGGAAAGTTCAGGTCCAGAAAGTACAAATCCAGACCAAGGTAAAATTTTGTTTCAACCAACCAGTTGAGTATAAACAGACATAGTCACAGAGTACTCAACCGGTTGGTTGAAACAAAATCTTGGACTGTATTTGTACTTTCTGGACCTGACCTTCCCACCTTTGCTTATGAAGCATATCTATCTTTAGTCTTGTATTACTAAAATGAAAATAGGTATGATAGAAATTAAAACTAGGCCTAAATAATACTAATAAAAGCAACTACAATGGCAAACCTAAAACGAAACAGTATACCCCTAGCGATAATAGTGTTTACAAATTTAGAGATACTTATTCTTGCCAGACAAGCTAGGTCATATTTATTTTAAATTCAAGTTAATGAGAATGAGATCGATGAGTTCTTTCTAGGCGACTGAAGACACCATTTTCAGCTGCTAGCTGTAATTTTTCCAGCAGGTCTTTGGTACCCAAGCTGCAGAAAATGCCTGAAAAGATAATCTGGCTTCAGGATGCTTAGGGCACCTCAGCCAACTTCTCAAAATACAGGATTTGCTACATTACTGAACTCATTCCCGTTCCAGAATGCGCAACAACCCTGAGAAATTTATTTTTTTTAGCAATGCTGTTGTTTAAGTCACGTTTCACATCTATGATTATGAATGAGGAACACGAATCACATGTTTAATTGTCTCTTGCTCTTGCTTCAGTATGATCAGGCGATTCAGAATCGGAATCAGAATTGGCTTTATTGGCCAAGTATATTTACGCATATAAGGGGTTTGGGTAACACTTTACTTTAAGAGCACCTTCATAATGCATTCATAATGCATTCATAAGCAGCATGCAAGTACACCTTAACATCCTAACATCCCTTAACAGCTTTAATATACATTAATAATTTGTCTCTGGTTTTTCAACGCATTCAGTATACTTACACAGGACAGACATACAGCAAACATGAGACAACAAAATAAACAAACAATGAAGTACAATATGTACAGAAGAGACTTAAGCAAGAGGGCCATAGTGCAATGGTGCAGAGTGCAAAGATGCTGGATATTTTATATACAAGAGGTGCAGTGGATTTTTGGTGATGACAGGTTTATTGCACAAATATTTTCTTGACACTGTGTTACCACTTTAAGTGTTCATCAGAGTGATGACCTGTGGAAATGAACTATGCGTCTGTCTGGTTGTTTGGCTTATAATACTCTGTAGCGCTTGCCAGAGGGGAGGAGTTGGCACGGCAACGTCTTTGGTGTCTAATGCTATTTCTGAACATCATGATGCCAAATATATGGACAGGGCTTTCATCTCATGGATGATGTAATCGTATAGCTCAGTGATTCGCAAACGTTTTGGACCAAGTATCACTTGGGATCAGACAAAGCAAAGTCAAAGGCAAAGTGCCACATGGCTGAAAAAATTTCAGTGACTTGAATGCACATCTGTGTAAAAGAAAAACAAAACAGCATTTACCGTTTCAGTGAGCCTACTTGGCATGACAAAGATTTGAAATGTCAGGGATGAGTGCAGTAAGCTTTAATTGAACAGTGATCCTTGATTAATCCTTGTGGGGAAATTCTCTATTTGCATGCCTACCCCATCTTGCTTGCGGCACCCCTGGAGATGGGGGGGGGGGGTTAATGGCTTCACTTAAGGGTTCACACTAGGGTTATCGCCTAATCCATGTTAGGGGGGAGACTGTGAGCCAGGAATCTTTACAGAATCTGTAAACTACCATTTCAATTAAAAAGACCTGGATCTGACTTAAGATAAGATAAGATAAGATAAGATAAGAACTTTATTTATCCCGAGGGAAATTCTTTTGTCTTAAAACATGCTTAGTGCAACAAGAGGAATAAAGATGAGACAGTAAAAAGCTTAAAAAGAAATTAAGCACTGAGTTCTTGCTGTGTGCTGATTGGCTAGTTTCCTATAATCATACGTGTGCTGTTAATGGGAACAAACTGGATGAGTCATTCGGTCAAGGAAACAAGCCAAGCACAAGAGGAATTGTACTATTTAGCCAAATAGGAGCCTTTCAGTTTTAAAGTAGCTTGTAAAACCTGAAGTAGTTCAAAGTGTCTTTCATGTGGCAGTGCTGAGGTCAAGGTAACTCAGTCTTGATATTTTCATCTGAGGCTAGCTTAGTCTCGTGGGTGTCATGACGACCAGGTATGTACCAAATGACACAATCCTCGGCTTCAAACCTACGTATTTGGATGTCACAGAGGACCCTTTGGACAACAGAGAGCTTTATCTTTTAAGGTCACAGAGAAATGCTGAGTCTTTAGCAAAATGTCCAAAGGGATGACAAAGATTTTTTTTGTTTGTTTTGCTTTTGATCTTGAATACTTTAATAGGTTATAAAATCACAGTTTTAATTCAGACATTTATTACAGTGTCACACAGTTAAATCAAAGATATGTATAAGTTAGTTTAGAATCTTTGGATATTTTTAGACATTTTTCTAAAGTACTGCTGGAAAGAACTGAGTTTCATTTTGACACTAATACCAAATGATCTGAGTTATATCACCATTGCAGTATTTTGTGAAGATGTCACATGATTTTTGTCCACACATGTACACATGTACATTCACTCACATGTAATCCAAAATTAAGGACAACAGAGGTTTCATATCTTGGTGGAGTATGAGGTTAAGAGGTTGAAGACCCTGGGGATCAAATTTTTCAATGATACCTTTCAGCTGTTCGGATTAGGAAGGAATTGATAGGTAAGACGCCCCAACAATTCAAGTTCTGGGAACCCTTACAAACAAAAGTGGAATAACAGGTGTGAAAGCTGGACAGAACACTTCACAGATGGTAAATAAGGGTAATTATTTTGCTGACAGGACCTGGGAGGCTGACAGGCCGGGGTAACCTCAAGGATAGGCTGACCTATTTGAAGGTAATAGGAACCAACAAGGCAAATTAAACAAACTCACAAAATCATCCAAATGGGGTAAATCATCATCGCCATCCATACCCACTTCTCCTGTGGTGAGTTGTGGGGCTCTGGAACGTATCCCAGAATCCACAGGCACAAAAGGCTGCAAGCCCATTGCAGAGCACATGCAGAATTCTGGCAACTTCAGTTCACCTTACAGTTAGCAACAGTGCTAATCACTGTGCCACCTCTATATACTAATATAGCAAAACAATTCACATATACCAGGCAACTGCTAAAACAGCAGCGGTAAATGCTTCATCTTGGACAGAGATCCAAAGGTAGCCAAGATCCCTGACATTACAAACCTTCAACTTTATCTAAGCAAGTAAAAAAAGAACATATGAGACATTATTCACTATGATCCAGCACACAAAATAAATTATACAGAATCTCACTATTTGATAAAGAGGGAAATATTCTCGCCTCTCATGAGGTTTATGGAGTGCAATGGGATCTATGGATGGATGGATGGATGACCATTTGCAAAAAATGTCTGCTGCACTTTCTATTTCCCAGTATACCGGATTTTACTGGTATGCATATAACACCATGATTCTGTGCTTGATAAGCGGTATGGGGGGGGTTGGCCTGCAAGGCTGCAGTTGTACATCAATTAATAAAGCTGCTTATTTGTTAGGTGTTTTCTGGAATGTAGTCAAACCCTATTCCCTTCCTGGTATACATCTTCCCAGGTGCAGTTTGAGCACGCCCATGTTATGGAGGCGCAGCAGTTGGTGAAACTCATCGGGCATAACGTGGAATTTCCTCTTCCATGGCCTGTTGTCATAGTAGCGGTTGGTGATTGGCCGGCAGTCGTTTGGGTGCACGGGAAAGGGCCAGAACCCGTAAACCTGGACGTCGTCGCACATCTCCACCCCCAGGCTGACCATCATGATCCCTGTGCTCAGCCGTGTCATCTTCTAGCCCCGCCCCCGCCAGAACTCTGCCAGATTCCGCAGGTACTCCGGATTGTACAAGACGGCCCGAATCGAGCTGTCAAAGTCATTCAGGGTGTAATAGGCACACAGGGAGACGGCTGTGTCTCGCTGGTAGGGGAAGGTAGGCAACAGCAACAGAGCGTCTTTGTAGAGGTCTAGCCTGTTCACAAACGGGCGCCGATAGTCTATCAGGGCTCCATAACTGCCGTGTTTATGGAGCGAGGTGAGGGGAGCAAGAGAGGAAGGAGAAAGAGAATGTGTGAGCATATTTACTACAAAGCATTACTCAGCATGAAAATTGCCGATTCATTGTAAGCAGACAGACCCTGATTATTGAGTCTTGTTTATAGCATAAATATCAACGTCATTAGACTCGTCAGGAACTGGATGGTCTGGCGGTGTCATCCTGTGTAAGCCAATATGAGGAAGTACAGTATGAAGGAACTGGGCACATGACTCACTGCTCAGTGAGGATGCTGGGATTGAATGAAATGAGGTTAGTCTTCTTGCCAACGTGTTTGTCATAGCCATTGTTCAGAGTACCGAGGTTACACCTAGACCCAAGAATGACAATAAAAGGTTTCTTAGTAAAAGATTATGCATTAATAATAACCACAAAATTGACACAGTATCAATATGCCGTAAGGGGTACGCTAGGAATATACGAGGAACATGGTGGAAAGTCAGCCTTACCTGAGACTTTTAGCCTTACCTGATGACAAACTGGGCCAAATCGATGTTTTTTCCACAGCTGCTGTTTCCCAGGACACCACCGTTTCCCACCACGGAACACGTCTTGAACGTCTTATTTAAAAATGGTGAATCCTACAGGGTACATAGTGTGAAGGTCTCTTGAGATATTAACACATATAAATACCCTTGCAAAACTAATGGTCTTGTATCTTTTATTCGCAAATGGTGAGTCCTACAGGATACACACCGTTACATTTTTCTGAATGTACATAAACTGAACTATGTGTCGATTGTTTATTTAGCACTGGGTCATACCTTTACAAAGGTGCTGAACAGCTTAGAGGTCACCTTGGTAGAACTCTTTCGGTCGCCATCATATATAATCTTTGAACCCAGTTGTGTATTGGCCTGCGTGACAATAGCCTTGAAGGTTCCATTGCACTTCTTGTTCAACAGAGACCTAGGACAGAAAGGCCATTTGATTACTTGCAGTTCCTTCACGCTTTTGAGAATTTATCATGCAGTCACTTTGAAGAACAGAGGGCATTATGGATTTCAGTGGATCAATAATTAAACAAGCATCACTGGTTTTTATGCTGAGGCTTTGGCTCTCTGTACCTGAATTAGGATAAATTATCCACTTGCTTCTTCCACTTCTGACTATAGAGCTTCAATAACTTGCTAATGGATTTCGCCCTTTAAAGACAGAAAAGAGACGCGCATGAGACAGATATACTAAGAGTTCTGAGATATCGGAGCTTGACTCAAATTGCCATTAGTCATTACCAACCCAGGTTCCGAATTACATTTGTGAACTGATTGCTACGGTGCTCTCCTGTAGGGGTTTCCAAGCTTCACTACTTTTCTTGTGAAACAGACGCAAGCTTAACATCCTGATACCCTGTGATACTGAATTCATTTGTTCACTTTCAAGCCACCAAGAGCTAGTGTTCTTTCAGAAGGCATTCAGTGCATGTGTATGACAGCACTTGCAGTTTGTACCTTACCTTTACCATTCTGCACCATCAAGCACACGCACGCAGCACGACTGACACAAACTGCAGGAGTCCCCACAAACCCTGAGCATGGTAAGCTCGCCCACACCTGCAATATTTGATTGGTTCAAGATGTTGTGGCTTCTGCTTATGTGGCTTCAAGGTGCCTTCAAGTCTGGAGACGCTGTGGAGACAGATTTCCAAGTTGAGTCACTCAACATTGTCACTCTTGATTGTGAACAAGGCAGCCAAGCGGGGGAGAGAAATAGAGGCTGGGTGTAGTGATTTGGCCAATCTGGTCAATGATGATTCTTGGTGCGGGTTACGAGACTGAAGGAAGTTTATTACAAACGGAGCTCAGGAAAAAAAAACAGGAGAAATGGACCATGAAGGGTCTAAATGAAGGTAGGTAGATAAACAAATCTAAAGCGCTAACACATAAAGAAATACATGAGCTACAAACAGGGTATACAGTGAGAAACTACTAACAACAAACAAATTTGCATCTATAGCACAGTCTATAGTGACTGACAGAACACCTGAGCAAAGGCAGAGACATATATACACAGTTAACAAGGCTAGACGAGGGACAGGTGTGGGCTATTGCTGATTGCACAGTAGGGACAATAGTTTAGTTTCAGACATCCCATTGAACTGGTATGGTTAGTGTGCCCAGAATGTTTTAGCAGCCTGTTGGTCTTTCACAACCAGAGGTTATTTTCCCTACTAGAATATCTCAATGCTTCAGTTGAGTGACTAGCAAAGAAAATAGACTGTGTCTGTGCAAGAAAGTCAACTTTGATTCCTGAATAAGATATTAACATCTACAGCCTTCAAATTGAAGCAAAAGTAATAGTTAAGCTCTGGATTCACATGTCTGATGTTCACCGCAACTGCAGAAGGAATGAGAGATGAGTCTGTTTGGGTCTTGGTGAACAATCCTCCAGATGAAGCCTGATCACACCCAGGCTATGGAGCTGCAGGAGGCGGTTAAACTCAACAGGCATGGCGTGTATGCTTTTCGCCTTCACGTCATCATAGTAGTGGTTGGTGAGGGGCCGGCAGTCTCGTGGGTGCTGGGGGTAGGGCCAGAAGCCGTAGAGATGCACTTCATCACACAGCTCCAGTGCCAGGCTGGCCATCATCATCCCGGTGCTGAGGCGCTTCTTCAGGCCCCTGGTCACCCAGAACCGGGCCAGGTTCCGTATGTATTCTGGGTTCATGAAGACGGGCCGGGCCGGGCTTTCAAAGTCATGCACCGTGTAGAGGACACGCAACGTGACAGCCGTGTTTTTCCTATAAGCGAAGGTGGGCATCAGGACCAGAGAGTCTCCAAAGGTGTCCAGCCTTTCCATGAATGAGCGACGGTGCTCCATCAAGGATCCAAATCTGTTGGGTTGAGGTGAGGTGGAAATGGGCAGGTAGAAGGAGACAAAGAATCAGAGTGAACCTACAGCGAAAACCGGGCACCGGCTGCACAAAACACTGTAACTTTTCTCCTTAAGTGTTACACTTAAGGTTTAATTTCTCCTTAAGCTGAGAGATTAAATGTCTCTCTGACTTTTAAAAAATCCTGGAGGACTGACTGACTTCCTAATCATCAGCACCAGGGTTGTTTTCTAAATTAATTCTAAAAATATTGATCTGAAGTTCATTCAAGACAAAGCTGGAGTGTCTCGTCTGTTGTATCTTTGACACTAGGAACCTCGGTTTTCTTCACCAAGATCAACATGACTCACTTATCCACGAGGATGCTGGGATTGGATGTTACCAAGTTCGTCTTAGTGCCAACGTCCCTTCGGTAGCCACTGCCCACAGGAGCGAGGTTACACCTGAGTCAGAGAAGGAAGAGCTTTTAAAACTGGCTTCTGTCAAAGGGGACCTGCGTGTATTTTAGCTCCCCCTTGCTGATAGAGAGAGTAATACACGAGGCCTCTGTTAGGGCAGGAAACACGGGGGACACATTTAATAACGAGAACTGCCTGTCATCAGTATCTCTCTACAGTCTCTTGTCAATCGAGGGGACGCTTGTGCCTCCAGGGTAAGAAAATAAGAAAACAGATTAAATTTTCTTCAGACACTTTTTTCCATTGTTGGTTTCCACTGTAGTCTCGCACCTCCAGGGTTGGTGACTATAATCCTACCTCTGGCTCAGTTTGTGGGATTTGAATGTTCTTCCTTCATTTGTACATCTTATAAACAAGCTGTTGGATGAACTAGTGTCTCTAAAATCCCCATAGTGTATAATTAGTATCCTTTTAAAGTTGTGTCCCATCTTATGCATGTGTCTCTTAGAATAGGCTCTGAAACCCCCCCCCCCCCCCTCCCCGACACACTTTGCATTGCATAAGCAGTGACAGACGATGCATGGTTACAAATGGAATCTCAGAAATGGAGTCAGACAGAGAGACAGGTCACTATTATTTGCCGACAACTGCATTTAGTAGCAGTTAAACCTTTAGCATCCAATAATAGGAATTTGTCCTGAAGCCTTCATTAAAACTGATTTATGATTTTCAGAAATACATGCCATTTCCACTCCACGCTAATTACAGACTGAAAATGAAAGTCCTGCAATTCTTTAAATATTTGTTGCAATACTAATCCACATACAATGAAAACAGAAGCAGTAAAGATTTCTTCACAGTTCTATTACATTTTTTCTGGCTGTAATGTATTGTAGTGGACATTATAATTTTTTATTGTCATTTTTTCTTTTTTTTTTTTGCAAGCTGTCATGTCAGTTAATACGAATATATTTTCCTTAACAATAATAACACTACTGGTGACCTTGTATGCCATCATCAAGGTTTTTTTTCTTATGAAGAACAATGAAATGTTTTGTTTACCAGAAAGTGTTTAATTCCCAGACATTTTACAATTCATCTGTATCGCATTATGTTGCGTCCTGGGAATCCCAACATACCTGATGACAAACTGGGCCGAGTCTATCTCTTCTCCACAGCTGCTGTTGGCCAGGATTCCACCGTTTCCCACCACGGAACACGTCTTGAATGTCTTATTTACAAACGGTGAATCCTACAAGGTACATAATGTGAAACTCTCTTGAGATATTAGCACATATAAATACACACACAAAACTAACGGTTTATGGGTTTTTCCGGTGCCAAGTCGTACCTTCACGAAGGTGTCAAACAGCTTAGGGGTCACCTTAGTAATTCTTTCCTCACTATCGTACGTGATGTTCGACCCCAATGGTGAGTTGGTCTGTGTGACAATAGCGTTGAAGACTCCTTTGCACTTGTTGTTCAGCTCAGACCTAAGACAGAAATCCCCACTTTTTTTCTTTTTCCTGTGTGCTTTTCAACGTTCCAAATGTCTTCCTGAATGTGGCGTCACATTTATTTATGCTGTCATCGTCACACGGTATTATAGACTCACAGCCATTAAGGACATGGTCCAATCACATTATGCTACCATTCAAAAGTTTTTGCACACCACGGGTTTTTATGACTTGTCAATTTATTTCATAAACTGCAGATTTTATTCTTGTCAAGCACTGGAAAGTTGAGTGAACAACTATAAATGAAAATACAAGTCAAATAAAACAAATTTCCTTTATAACATGGAAAGAGTATGTAACAGTGCACGTCTGACATCCTATTTACTGGTTGTGTGGTGATGATAGTCACCAGTGATAGTCATAGTCACATTCTAGGCCGTCCTTTAACTTTAAATGCACTAGTTAACTGTTTCATCCAATGACACAGAGCAGCATTTAATGTCCCTTATAGAAAGAATGCCTCGAATTTTCTCTGCTGTTATAACTGCTAGAGGAGGTTACTTTGATGAATCAAAGATATGACATTTTCTTGCTAATAAAGGTACTCAAATGGTGAACACACTGTAAGTGTATTCGTTAGCAAAGAATATTGTGTGTATTTTTAATAAATGTTAAGTGAGTAACATGCAAATGTAGGAATTCCCAGTGTGTGCAAAAACTTTTGACTGCTAGTGTACATGTAGTACCTTTCAAAGATAAAACCAAATTATAATTGATCAATAGAAACATCCTGTTGTTACCAATGACAATTAAATCAGAGGATGTTGCTTGGTAACCAGGGGAAGCAGCCTTCATGTGTGGCAAAACAACCCTGCAACACCCCCATGTCAACCGTCATCCCAGCTGATCCTACACTGCTACATTGTTGCCAGAATATATCACTGTCTAACTCATAAACACTTGTAGTCACTGTACATCTGCCTGCAGTCCACAGGTAACAAACCACAGCAAATTACACTCAGGATTCCTATTCTCACAGCTAAGGCTCTCCATACCTCAGTAGGGTGATGTAATCTTCTTGCTTTATCCAGTCCCGGGAATAAACCTTCATAATAGTTTCAATTTTCTTCTCCCTGTAATGATAACATTTGATTTTAACACAGGACCAGGTATGAGGTTAGTATGGATACAGATACAGCAGAGAGATACCAACAAGCAGGGATTAACTGCAGCCTTGCAGTCTGGGTTTCTGCTATTTTTGTAGTCATTGAATCAGAATCAAGCAGCAATTTAACCTGCCTTAAAATCAATTGCTTTTATGGGATTTTCCTAATATTTGGCACTGTCTTTCCTGATACATATCCTCGTCAGTACTAAGCTCACTATTGTCATCCATATGTTATCCGTAAATAGGGTGACCACCTAATCCATGTCAGAAGGGACACTATGAGCTACGACGGGGTTTGTGAACTTCCATTGCAACCATTTCAGTTAAAAGGACCTGGATTTCACTTTAGCACTGAGTTCTTGCTGCGTGCTGATTGGTCAGTCTCCTATAATCATGCACGTGGCACTAATGTTAACGTGAAGAAATCAAGGAAACAAACAAGTATAAATACAAGATGAACCAAACAATTTAGCCGAGCATGGGAGCCTTTCAGGTTTAAAGCAGTTTGTAAAACCTGAAGTAGCTTATAGTGTCCCTCCTGACATGGCTCATGTGGTCACTCTATCCGTAAATGCTTTTCTGGTACAGTCAGACTTTGAAGTAAAAATTCCTAGTAAATGCAGTTACAGTAACACACTTAAAACTCAGAATATAAGTGCTGACACACTTAACAACAAGAAGAACAACAAAAAACACATGTCATAGACAGCCATTTATGCGACGTCCACTGAAATAAGACTTGACTCCACCACGATGGTTCACACCTGCAGATCTGGGGCATCAGAAGAGGGGCAGTCTTCTCCAGATGTGCCTGGGAGTTTCCTTCTGTTCCAGAATTACTGGAGAGGCATGGGTCAAAGATCATGACACTTGCAGAAAAACTTGTCCAGAATATTTTTCTGTTTCTTGGTGTATATGGTGTAAGAGGGTTTGGAACAAGCTAGAATCTTATGTATTCTCCGCATTCTAGAAATCCCAATGTTAATCTTGATCAATGAATGTAACTAATGAACTATAAGTCAAAATGCAACCTCAGCTAAATGAACATACACTTCAGAAAATGCATCAGTATGTTTGTTTTGTCCATCAGAATAAATCAGAAAAATAGTAAGTCTTTTCCCTTTAAGTACAACATCTTTTATAGATAATTTCTACCTTGGAACCCTAAATATAACATCATAAAACACTATATTACATCACAAAACTGAAAATGTGCCAGTTAATCAATCCTACCAGTGAATCTTATCCGTTATGAAGTACATTTATTGATTCTCCTCTTGCAAACACGGATATAAAATTTGCATAATTTCTGTTGTTGGCATTCTAACAGCTTCTTCCAAGAAATTAAAATCTGTCATCATTTTATCTGTTTGCTGTGCAAATATCCTCAAGACATATGGTTTCCCTGTGTCTTATTGATCTTTTCTGATAGATTGGCAGTATCAAAACATTACATACTGAAGTAACTGTTAAGAGACACCACACTCCAATATTTATGGCTAGCTTGTTTCCCATATAGTAAAACCATCTTTTCTACTTCCACTTACGGGGTTGGGTTGTATGTAGTTATAGAGATGTAAGTTAAGGTATAAAATAAAAATCTGTTCTATGTTGTACATGCATACAGTACTTTGCAAAAGTCTTAGGTAGCCAAAGAAAATGTTTAGAGCTGTTTATCTCGGTAATTAATGTTTGTTTGCTCAGAAAAAACAAAAAACGTCCAATTTAACAGTAACACAATAAAAACTAACAAGGATTTCTCTAAAAAGTTATTGATGTCTTGTAGGTTGGCTAGAAGAACACAGCTTCAGCTCCCAAACCTCTCCTCAGGGGCACCAGCAGCTCGATTAATTAAATAACTTAATTAGTTAAATAATTTGATGAGGTTTTGATTCAATAGTCATAAGTTCGGGACAGTCTGTATAATTGTTTAGTTACACAGGTACGTATTTCTGTGCTCAGTGAAATTTTAAGGATTTCTACAAAATTCTGATAATTTCATTTTAAAAGAATTTCTAAGGATTTTAATTTATTTGACATGTATTTTTCCGATAAAACTGGAAAAACTTGACCAGGATAAGTGGTTGGGAAGAGCGTCATAAACTGGAAATTACCGGCAATTACATTTCTAATATAGTCATGTTTTGTCATTGATCAATTAAGTAATGTTGATTCAAAGGTCTTATCAGGTACCTCCCCAGTTTGTACAAAGGATTGCAAATTCTCCAGGGACAGTGGATGAATAACACACTCTTTTGTGTGTGCGTGTGTGTGTGTCTAAGGCTCTGAGGAGAGCAAGGTGGCGTTTGTGTAAGGAAGCAATCAAGATCTATACCTGTACTTGTGCACAAGGCAAACACAGCTTTAATTCACTGCCTTTTGGATGTTATTTGTGGCGTGTTAATTCTCACGGTGCACCGGCTTACCTGTAAAATACCAAGGAAAACCAGAAGAACCCGCCAGCAGCCGAACCCAGTACCAGCAATCTGAATACCCAAAAGCTTCTCAGGCAGCGCCCCCTCATGGCTCCCCCAGGCCAGAGTCCTTCTGCTCCTTTCTTACCCCCTGTGTCTGTGATAGGTTAATTTTATTAGGAAACTGTGACACAGTAGTTTTGGAAAAAAGTTATTTTAATAAATAATAAATTCATAATTATAAACATATAATGTCTGATAAAAACAAAGGTTTACTTAAAAAATGTTAATATGCCAAAGCTCTGTAAAAAGCTTACAAGAAGAAAAGGATTTCATCTATATTTAATTTGCGATCTACCTGTTGAGCCTTTCCGCTCATAACGGATTGATTGATTAGGTCTGCGGAAGGCGGAAAGGGGAAACTTTCGGCGCGTAAGGGGAAACTTTTCTCAGTAATGCTACCACAGAAGAAGCATCGTGTTTGAGTGTTTATTTATATTTCCCCTTTATTCAGGGTGTTACATGTCTCTTTGGACTGACGGTGCTCCTTGCCTCTACCTGCTAAATGGTTAATTATCTGAATGAATTTGTTACAAGTCTGCTTAAAACTTAACTTGATTGCATGGAACATGATGCACTTAATATTTGTATTATGCGTGAATATGAATATTAAGCATGAATTTATTTACATTGAAGAATATTTACGACAGTTACTACAAAACTCAAAGTTCAGTACATTGCCAGTTAGAAATGTAAGTTTCAGAAATTGTAAGTGGAAAGCAAAAAGTTACATGATCTTTCTCATTGAATCCCATGTTCATTATTAAAATGATGTAAAACCTTGATGAGTTGACACAGAGGACTTTCATCTGAGCCCTGTTCGATTTGCTCTTTAGATACAAATGTCACTCCCCATATTTTAGATGTTTCCTCGTCTTTGAAGGTCTTTCGTCACAGTGTGTGTAGGATCCTATGCATGCGTGATAATTGATTGTAAGGCAACACAAAAACCGAATGACACATTATGACAACAGTGATGTTTATGACAACAGTCATAAAAATCAATAATGTGTCTTTAATGTGCATGCCATGTGTCATGTCATTCTTATGACGGTTACATGTCACCCTTATGTACACTGCTTCAAGTAAAGTGTTACCGATTATAACAATTCATTACTTAAAGGAGGATAAAAAAACGACTATGGCATAATCCACAAACTTTACAGGGCTAGTGCTAAGTCACTCCTTTAAGATGGAATGTTCAGTGGTTCCTACAACACTCACGCCTCCCTTCACCTTTAAGCTGTCAAATTGTCTCAACCGGACCAAAGTTAGACACTTGAATCACTGATTTTTATTGCTTGTGCAAAACACTTCAGGTCATATAAAATGGTCCCTGCTGACAGAACACAGACATTCGCAGATGAGTGCACCCCAAACTGAATACACAAGGTACCAGGTCTTCTACCTCTCGGACGTTTACTCTTTGTTGGGCTGGTCTCTAAGTATCCAGATCCAACATCACTTGGGTCACTTAGTCAAACAGATGAGCAAGCTAGGTAAACTGAAGCAATCTGAAAATCTGGACTAGGAATAACCAAGGATAAGATCATCGCTCGACGCAGAGTTAAGCAATCCATGAAGTTAAGCAGAGAAACAGAGAACGACAATCCACACTAGCTAATCAAAACAGAATTAGGAAACAAAACAGCTCAGAACAAGACAAATCAGCAAATGCATATTAATCTATTTGCTTGTGTATTTTCCTCATAAAATCACGATTCTATCAGGTACAGTACACTTTTTGCCATGGATTAACATTTGCACTGGGATCTCTGGGAACACAACTGATACTGATACTTGAATATGGCTAAAAATGCTAATTCTTTCTCAGGACATTTTTTTTCCCATGAAAAAAACATAACAAAGTCAAGATGTCCTTCCTGAGGGTAACGGAAAAGTTCTTGAAGGCACAAGAAAGTGGAATCTCACACTAATAGAAGAAGTGAAAGAGGAGTTTGTGCTTACCAGGTACGGGATCAGGGATCAGGGGTTGCATGCATTAGCAGAAAACTGAATGAAATACAAGAACTTGAGAAGCAACAGGGAAATAATGGTATGTCGGTAAATACCAATGGACAAAAATCCACACAATAGGTAGAGAGGTTAGACCAGTTTTTATATACCAGGTTTTTACAACCCACTGGTCTAGCTCAGGGGTGAACAGGTGGTACGAGTGAGGTAAACTCTCCTGTAAGTTCTGCTCTGACCCAGACAACACACACAAAGAGATTCCACTAGATTCTAGTTTCCAAAGAGACTCAAAGAGATCATGCACGGAGAGTTTTAGTACAGAACGAGACAGACCTATTGTCCCAGCGAGGACCATGGTACTGATCAGTAAGGAAGGGAGATCCTTACATGCGCCCTTCCCCCAAAGGTTAAACTGACCCTACAAAACACACATGGGTCGGCATCGCCTTCTGACCTGGTGTACTTAAACAGAGGCTTCCTATGGGCAGGTGTAGCTGCACGCACATCTAAACGTTCATCCACAACCTTAGGAAGTAATAAGGCATTCGCAACGTGATAGGTGAGCGTTGACAGTGGAATTTGACTGGGTTGGGAAATGCAGGTTCAAAGGACAGTGAAGGATGCAAGGACAAGAGCGCGGGAAAGCTGGTCGCCCCCGAGCGAATGGCGGAGCCCAGCTGACCTTGTCAAAACCAATCCCACCAGACTGGTCGATTCAAGCTCCAGTTGCAGCCTGAAACACACAACTGGTAAAACCCAACCACCACAATACCAGACATGCCTTCTTCTTTACGTTCTAGAATGAAACACAGGTGAATCACAAGAATAGGTACAGAAATTAGTTAACATCAGGGGTGAATCTCAATATGTGTCTTTGACCCTTAATTGTGTTCTTGTGTACCCATTTTATTTCATCTTCCATTGCTAAAGACCAGTTCCAATACAAAGAACACAGGTACAGAGGAGGAGAGGTAAGGAACGTGTGCTGATTTGGCAGGTTGCCGCACCCACCACAAGACAAATCATCTCAGGGATGAGAACCCAAGTGTAGCTATGTGGCAGGTGGTATACTGTTGGCCAGGACAACACCATTTTCCACCACAGTACACATCTTGAATGTCTTATTCATGAATGGGAAATCCTACAGTGTACCAAGTCTGAAACTGTTGAGCTATGAACACACACAAATACACTCACAAAACGAATGATTCACATGTTTTTCCAGTTCCAAGTCCTACCTTCACAAAAGTGTTAAACAGTTGAGGGCAATAGTTTTCTCAGAATCGGTTCTGATGCTCAATCGCATTGATGAGTGGGCCTGCGTGACAACGGCCTTGAAGACACCATTGGTGAGTGGGCCTGCGTGACAATGGCCTTGTAGACACCATTGGTGAGTGGGCCTGCGTGACAATGGCCTTGTAGACACCATTGGTGAGTGGGCCTGTGTGACAATGGCCTTGAAGACACCATTGGTGAGTGGGCCTGCGTGACAATGGCCTTGTAGACACCATTGGTGAGTGGGCCTGTGTGACAATGGCCTTGAAGACACCATTGCATTTGCTTTTCAGCTTAGACCTGTGATAGAAATCCCTGTTGTTCTGTCCTTCTTGTGTGCTTTTCAAACCTTATTGTACTGCCACTGTCATGCCCACAAACTCTCTCCAAATGCCGACATTGGGGACACTGCGATGTAGGCACGTTACTCAATAGACTTAACCCAAAGATTCATATCACTAGAAAATACTAGTTTACTAGTTAAACTAATTAAACCTTCAACTTTCAGATATCTTCCTGTTACAAGAAAGCCAGTAAATCCCCAGTGACTTATTTGAATGCTTCTGTAAATTTGTAATTATCCCTTCATCACATGCCATTATACTCTCGCATCCCAGTAAAGACACAACCTCACCATATTACTTATAGTGTGTTTTAAAGATTGAGATCTGTCCAGGTTAATCACAGACAATAGTAACATCATTGCATACAAAGAAATGGAAAACAGTGTATGTGAGCGCCCACATAATTATGAATATTTAGTGATGCCTTACAGACTAGCTAACGCACCTGCCTATGTTCCAGTTGTTTATGAACACCATCTACCATGGTATGATCAATTGAACCCTGCTAGTCTAAGTCAGCAACTTGCTAATATATTCTTAAATGTTAGCCGATCATGTTCACCATGTCTGATAGGTGCTCCACTGGCTCAGGGACTACTTGCTATACATTAAGGCTAAGAACTGTGAGTTTCACATCCAACATTTGTCAGTCCTGGATTATCAATGAATCGCCTAAAACTTAACCGGATCCTTAGTCCCAGCAGAGTGCAAATGGACCCAGAGAAGACATTGGGAGTAGCAGAGTGGCCTCTCCCAGACTTGAAGAAGAAGCTGCAGTGTTTTTGCTTTTATTTAATAATAAATAAATAAATTCATTTCATTTTCACCACTCCATCTGGGTGCTTAACTTTTTTTGTCACTGAGTGTATATG